TGGCCCGGCATGCAGGGCCCTGGCTGTGGGCCCCATGCCTGGGGCTCCGCTACTGGTCCTGTGTCCGCCCCAGCCTTTGCCCCCTTATCCTCCCATCCCAGAGAAACAGCATTGCTCCCGGCCCCGGCTGGGGTGTGCGTGCAGACAGGGATAAGGGAGCTGGCTTTCAGCACCCCCACTATTAAAAGGGTTCTAGCACAACTGACAGAAATACAGCATTTCTTAGAAGACTGTGCACTTCTCACATGCCAGGAAAAATAACTAGCAAGACTGTGACAGTCTTATGAGTGTAATCTGCACAGTGAAGGGACGAGATAGCAGATGCCGAAATAAATGTTGACCTGAGGGTGTGATGTAAAGGGGGGGGGAGGGTTGTATGTGTAGTGGGGAAGCTAATGTATTTGCCCTTTAACTGCCCTCCTGTTAGTTGCTACCATGGGAGTTGCACTCCTTTGCATCAGTTCTTCCTTTGGCTTGCTCTGTCCATGGTATCTGGATAGATGTTGGCCGATTCTTCGGTAAGGACTCTGTGTCCACATAGCTGCAACCATCATGGAAGATAATTTAATAAGTGACGGCGGCAGGCAATATCTGGCTCTCACTGTGCCAGACCTCATTTGGTGAGGCTATTAGACTTACCCTTGGTTGATTTCAAGAAGGGGGCTGTGGGCCTTTAACTTTCACCTGGGCTGTTGGAGACTGGCAACACGGGGCTTGATTTAAACTCCCTTCTGAAGAAAGACACATCTAAGGTCCTGTCCACACACAAAAGGGAGCACATAAGGGCTTGTCCACATGGGAAAATGATTTCAAGCCTTAAGAGACAGTTAAAAAGTGGTACCTGCTGAACTGTTTCCCCTTGTGACTGGTTGGTGTGGGCAGGGGCAAGTCATGCTAGAACTGGAGCTGAGTGAAGTTTGGAATTTCCATCCTGGGAGAAACGCCAGCACTGGTTTTCTTCCCAAGTCAGGAGGAAAAGCTGAAATGCTGAAGACTTTTGTGCAATGAAACTTTCCAAACCATTTCCATTCAGAAATGTGGAAGGGTTTCGTTTCAACATTTTTGATCACAAGGAGATGTCTCACATGCATGGTGAAGTTATTAATATTGTAACAAATCCATGGCCGCTGAGGATAGTTGTTCCTACACTGCATGTGAAATTCAATTCAACAACAGGAATAGAACTGGGGGCAGATTGGGAGAAAAAAAAAAGTGTGGGGTTTTATCCTTGACTCCACCCGCAATTCAGGCTCCACCCATTGTGACATCAAAATCATAGAATCGTAGAACCCTAGGGTTAGAAGGGACCGCACGGGTCATCTAGTCTAACCCCCTGCCAAGATGCAGGATTTGTTGCGTCTAAACCACCCAAGGCGGATGGCTATCCAGCCTCCTTTTCAAAATCTCCAGTGAAAAAGCTTTTCACAGTACTACTGTGAAATGCTTACTGTGCTACTCAGAGTCGATTGTGAAGAGCTTCATAATATGATTGTCTCTCCCCTTTCTTGCATGCTTTGGCCAACAGTACAATTATTAAAGATGCTGGCATCACTGGACTTCAGAGTCAGCTTCCTCTTGAAATTAATAGAAGCAGGTCACTCTTCTCTTACAGCTATTGTGCTAAAATGTCTTCAGACTCATGCAGATCTCTCTGTTCGGTTTACACTTGTTTCACAGGGCTAGAGATGTAGGTCCTGATTTATCACTTTGTTGTGCCAGCTGTAAAGCCGTCATAACAGAGTGGTGAATCAGGCCAGTCAGATGTAAATGAATGTTTAGATTCTGAAGCACAAGAGGCAGTCAGCAGAAGAAAGGGCAGTCCAGTCCCAGAGCAGGACTCAGATATTTCCATTGCAAAAGCACATGCCCAGCATTCCCCTTGAGCTAGCAAAAAAATCTGTTACCTTTTAACAGTTTAGGGTCATAGTTTAGATGAGATCAGCTGTCATTTAGGCACAAAAATAAGTGGACCAATTTTTCCAGAGAGGTCAGCATGCGGGTACCTATTGGGAGCTGGGGTGTTTGAAAATCTGGGCCCAATTATGAGTGCTGAGAATTTAACAATCTAGCCCTGAGCTCGTCTGAAAAATCCAACACATAGAAACCTCAGAGCATTTCTGATTCCATCTTGTTGAGAATCGTGCTGCACATACACACTAGCAAGCACATCACAGTAAAGTTCTACATTTCCTTTTCTTCGTGACATTCCAAGACACTTTATAAACAATATTAACCTCACAAATGTCTGTCAGTCATTCTATAAATTCATACATGGTATCGTAACTCTAAACTTAGCATGGAGCATGTGCTAAACAGAATTCTCCATCACTAACTGACAGATTTTTTTTTTGCAATATGAAAAGATACAACTTAATTTGTTATATGTCTAGGAGTTTTTAAAAAAGTTTTTACAGCAGAAAAATACATTTTTGTGCCCTTGCATAACTAAAAATGCCAGTGAATGGAGTTTGCTCAGTTTTAAAAACATAGTAAGCTTTGTTCTGAAAATAGACATGGAAAATTCCAGGCCAAAATATGAAACTTTTCAGAAAGTTAGGAGTAACTGGAAGCAGGAGGTTTACGATGAAAGTTCCCATGTAATCTCAACTACAGCATCTACTACAAAGCAATAATACAAGACCACAGAAATGCAGCCACCTCTGAGGAGAAAGGTAGCAACAACCAGCACAACAGTTGGCGAGGGCAGCAGGAGCAGGACATTTTGGTGAAGGAGACAGAGGCACAGTTTTCTTATGAAGAGATCGTGAAATCGTTAATATTCACACAGAACACATGGAAGCTCAGTGGAAGGTCTCATATGAATGACTCGCATGGAACAGTTTAGGTACTATGAAAGAGTAAAAGGTGGAGAGTAACTTGCTGGGATATGAACCTCTGATTCCAAGTAGTAGCAGTATTTTGAATCTGCATCTTAGCCCACTATGCCCTCCCTTCTAACAAGTATCTGATATCACAATGCTTTGGAAGGGACGTACCATTTAATCAATTAGCCCTTACCTGGGACATCTCTTATGAACAATTAACCACAGTATCACACAATAAAGGTCAAAACATTATAGCTTAAATTAGTGGTATGGCAGCAACAATGCTGTAGAGTACTGTGGTATCATTGTATGTAAGGATGGCCACCTGAACATACTTCCAAGTTGCAGTGGTGCTACTCAGAGGACTGTCCTGCCAGGCCTTTAAATTATACGTTCAGGGGTGATACTATGTGGGGGCATGGCATCTTGATGTTACAATGCGAGAACCTTCATCCTCCAGGAAGAGTTTGACAGGCAGGAAACGAGATTCCAGACACGTCCTGTTTCCTCTAAATAAAAAAGAAAAGGAGTACTTGTGGCACCTTAGAGACTAGCAAATTTATTTGAGCATAACCTTTCGTGAGCTACAGCTCACTTCATCGGATGCCCAAGAAAACTTATGCTCAAATAAATTTGCTAGTCTCTAAGGTGCCACAAGTATTCCTTTTCTTTTTGCAGATACAGACTAACATGGCTGCTACTCTGAAACCTTTCCTCTAAGTGCAATTCCTGCATCCCACTAGCCTAGAGGTGCGGCCATGGTGCATTCTCCTTTGGCTGGATATGCACCCACAATTGTCAGTTGAGTCCATAGTTTAGGGGTGCTCCTGGATTCCTCACTGTCACTAGGCTCTCACATAGCATCTGCGAGTAATGCTTTCTATCATTTCTGGCTGGCGAGGAAACACCATCCCATCCTGTCAGGTGATGACCTGGCCTTAGTGATACAAACCTTTGTCACCTCCCTTCTAGACTACAGCAATGCAATATCGATGGATGTGCAGCTATCGGTCCTTAGGGAACTCCAACTAGTACAGAAGGTTGCATCACATATCCTCAGCAGCGCAGGCTACCACAAATATATCAAACCTGTTGCCCACTCTGCTCTGGCTTCCCATAGAATATTGAGCCAAGTTTAGGATTTTGGGGCTTAACATCAAGGAACTCAAGGTCCTGGTCCCAGAAAACCTAAAGAAACCTAAAGCTTTGGGATGAGCATCATGGTTGACTGCTCCACTCCTCAGGCACAATGGAACATCCTATCACAAAGGTAAAACGCTGTGCAGGAGACAGAACTTTGGAGAGGGCTGGTCTGAGATTGTGGGGTGAAACCCCGCAGGATTAAAGGACCACCCCAAACCTCCATGCCTTCCGTTCCAAGTGCCAGGCCTGCTTTTCCAACTTGCCTTCTCTAACACACACAGAGCAGCAAAGACAGGCCTGTATTAAAACCTCCTCATCTAAACAAAGCACACCCATTTCTCCTCTTGGGTAGAGGATATGAACCATTTGTGAAAGGTGTTAGTCACGTCGTTTAATCCATTATTGGAAGGTGCTGAGACCCTACGGTGAGGTAGGAGGGATAAGAATCTAGCTGTATAGAAGTGACGGGTCCAGGAATAGCTTGTGGGTAACCCACTGAACACCCCCAATCCCCATGACGATGCCTGGTCATAGCGTCCCTGCCGGGCACTGTGATGCGATTGTTGGGCTGTGGCTGCTGGGGGCTGGACTCTTGCTAGCCCAGCCGATGGCAATATTGCTCCTGCCGGACACTGAATTAGGGTCTGTTGCAAGAACGAGAGAAATTTGGGGCCCCAGAACATCATGTGTGCTGGGGCCCTGCCCCCGTCCCGTTCTCCCACTTGACCCACTGACCCATGTTCTGGGGCCCCGGGGCCAATTGCCTCCCCTCCCCCAGCCCTGGCTATCACAGCCCCCAGCCAGGGTAGAACCTCTGCCCCTTCCTGGCTGGGCACGTGGCCAGAGCTGCCTGCCTTGGCCCCGCCCCCACCCCTGACGTCGCATCTCCACCTGCCTGCCCCGCCCACTGCAGCGGCCTCCCCGAGGTCCCGCCTTCCCTCGGCTGATAGGCGGCGGCGGTAGCCAATGGCGAGGCCCGGGGTGGGGCCAGGGCGATGTCGTGACGTCAGAAGGGGGCAGGGTTCCAGCCCGGGCAGGTGGAGGGGGTTTCGGAGCGGCCGGTGGGAGAGGCGTCTCCGACAGGACGAGGCCAAGGGGGGCTGCGTGCGGGGTGCGCGGCCCCGCCCCGGGTGCCCGGCTCAGGTAAACAGCGCGGGGGCAGGGCCCCCTGCGGGACTTGGGGGAGGCCCGGGGGGCAGAGACCCCTGGAGAGGGCAGAGGGAGTGCAGGGGGGCAGGGACCCATGGGGAGTGCAGGGGGTCAGGGACCCATGGGGAGTGCAGAGGGAGTGCAGGGGGGTAGGGACCCATGGGGAGTGCAGAGGGACTGCAGGGGGGTAGGGACCCATGGGGAGTGCAGAGGGGTGGCAGGGACCCATGGGGAGTGCAGAGGGACTGCAGGAGGGCAGGGACGCCTTGGGAGTGCAGAGGGACTGCAGGGACCCATGGGGAGTGCAGGGGGACTGCAGGGGGGCAGGGACGCCTTGGGAGTGCAGAGGGACTGCAGGGACCCATGGTTTTTCAGAGGGGGAGGGAATTAGGGGGCTGACTCTCGGATCAGCATACTCAAATCGGGCTCTGGGAGTCAGACCCCCAGAATTTCCCGGGGACTAGCAGGGAGATCGGGGGAGGGTCCTGAGAGCTGGGGAGGGGAGTTAGGGGGGGTGCAGGAGAGAAAGAGAGAGACCCAGGGTGGCTCAAAGGAGGGAGGGCTGGGTGGGCAAAGGGTACCCAAGGGGGCATGAAATGCAGACTGGAGCACAGGATGGTCCGTGGGATTGCTAAGGGGAGAATACCCAGGGGAGGTGGGTGGGGGAAGAGCCCAGGTCTGGGGTTGTGCTTGCTATGCCTGCAGAGGGATAATTTGCGCTCCCCCCGCCTGTCTGCTTGCCTTGTTTTTCTAGCGGGGTATGGGGGATCGGAGGGGAGGGGGAGAAGAGATATGCCACTAGTGACTTGTTGCCTCAACTGGGGTATGCCAAACACACTGGTGGTTCTGGGAAGACATGAGGGCTCGAATGACTTTGCATCTCTGGTATTTTGGCTATGTGACATTTGCCATTACTCAGCAGTCACAGGGAATTGCTGTGCTTTGTAAGCAATGCACTTAGTTTTTAACTCTTAGACAAGATCCTGTCTGTATATGTTCAGCTTTTTCAGGATATTTTCTAGTTTTCCCAACTTTATGCACAAGGGGCTGGAAAGTTCCTGCTTGAATTTATGGGCAGCCCCTGCAGTGTGGTATCTGCTATTCTAGCTAATCATGCCATTTCCAGCTTTCTTTCTCTCATCTTCCTGCATTCCCCCCCCCCCCCTTATATAATTCTCTTTGCCTGAGTGCTAATGTTAAAATGCACTGTGAGTTTGCAGACCTAGCAAGGCAGGGAAGGAGTTGGCGCTGTGGGGGTGTGCAAGAGACCGGATTGTTGCGTTCAGAGGTACGCTCATGCCAGGGCAGCACTGCGGAATTTCTCTCTCCCTCTCTGTCTTTTGGAGAAAAACACTCCTCCTTCTGGCTGCTTGCAGACATAAACCAGCCCAACTTCATGTTGTACTTCATCCAACAGCCTCTGAAGAGGATAAAATAAACCCTGCACTGGTTGCAAAGCAAACTCTGCTAAGAGTGCAAGACTACTTTTATCTTCAGCTGTGAGTAAATTCAGAAAGGCTGACAAATAACTTGTGGTGTAGGTCGCGCCAATGGCCGAGCTGTCAATAAACAAGCCTGTAAAAACTTAGTATTTGGTGAGAAGTATGGCAGAAGAATTCTGGGAGTTACGTATTCTAGTGTTGGATCAAGGAGAGCAGGGGTTCTCAAATGTTTACAAAGTATAAATAACCTCTTAATGGAGCCATTGAATTATACCTTCCCTCTCACAGTAAACCTGTGACAAGTGCAGCAATTGCTTGCATGGGAAAGTCATATTTAAAATACATTCTGATGTATTTTTAGCGTCCCTTAATGTGATCGATCTGCTGGAGGCGGAGTCAGTGCCATGTGATTAACCATCCGTCTAGGGCCACCAGCAAAAGCTCCATACATTGTGGTTTAGGCTGTGTTGGTATTTGTACCTAGATGCCATGGTGACTGGGTGTGTTATAAATACCTATGAATGTTTTAAATGACATATTGATCTATATTTAGGTTATGAGGGGATATTTTACAGTGTTGGTATATTCCACATAGTTATCTCCACCTAAAGATGCACATTGCATATTTAGTGGTATATTAACTCTTTACACAGAAGAAGACTTCGGCTGACCAGCTTCCAAACACGGGGCCTGACTTTTTTCCCCAGGGGTGCTCCTTTTTCATGAGTTGTGGCTGGGCACCCATAAAACCGGGCCCAAAGGTTTTTTCAGCTACTGCATTATTTTCCCCTTTGCCCTTAGAATAAATACAAGCAGTCATGGATGGAAAGATCCTGTGTAGTTTCCTTAGTCAGCTATTAAAAACATGTAAGCCCATTGTAGCTTCCAGGAGAGAAATGCCTGGCTCCTGGGATTTAAACAGGCTGTTGAACCCAGCAGTTTTGTCCTGTCAGTTGCTGTGCAGAGAGGTCTGGAAAGATGAATCCCGTTGCCACAAAACAGAAGTAAGGGAAAGCCCTGTCCATCCCCAGCATTCACCTGTGCATGGAACGTACAGCCCAGTCCTGCACCACTAAAGTCAGGATTGCCATTGATTTCTATGGAAGCAGCAGTGAACTCTTGCACAAAGAGAGAGGCTTGGTGGGGTTAACTTTTCTGCATTAATACCAGGCTACAGTGCCACTCTTGCTGCCTTTGTAACCCATCCCCTGCCCTTATAAACCCTTACATTGGGGTGCAACAGGGTGTGCACGGTTGCTGTGCTCCAGCATGGGAGTGAGTGGATGCCACATGAGGGAGAAAACTAGGTTTAGCACTAACTAATCTTTCAAATTCATCAGTCAGAAGTTTTGAGCCCCTTCTTGGCTGCTCCTGGGCTGGTGAGGGTTCAAGGTTAAAAAAAAAAAAGGGGGGGGGCAGGGTCATGTCTGGAGAGGCATGGGGTCAAGTACGTGCCTCCTTGTGCCAATGAGACACTTGTTACACTGCAGTTAAAAACCTGTGTTTGGCCCATGCCAGCTGGCTCGGGCTTGGGCTAAGGGGCTGTTTAATTGTGGTGTAGATTGGTCTCCAGGACCCTGCGAGGTGGGAAGGTCCCAGAACTGGAGCTCCAGTGTCTAAACCAAACAGCCTGCAGCACGAGCGCTGGGAGCATGGCATGGGCCAGCTGCGGGTGTCCAATTGGAGTGTAGACATACCACTGTTACATGATCCCCCTCCTAGTCCTCATTTCTGCTATCAGGGAGGAGAAACTTGGCAAGCATACTGCAGTGTCTGTAATGCAGGACTGAGGTTCTGTGTGTTCCCTGTTCTGCTCAGCATTATTGACCCAGCCTTTCCTTTATACAGTGCTTGGCATGTGCCCTAGGCAGGATCAAGCCCACTATGTGCATTCACAGAGGTGAGAATACTGAGACTAGAGACCTGTGTGTGGGTTGAGCGAAGGGGAGTCTCATCTTGTTTATTTCAGTGTTTGGCTGTCTAAACAACCACAATCCATACGCTCTTGAATCGGTAACAAAAATGCAGGGCTACTCCAGTGGACAGTCACTGAACTCAATTATAGTTTTTCCTCAACCAGTTTCTTTCAAGCTTGGCAGCTCCCTGGCATTCTTCACAAAGCACTCGGCACATGCTGCTTCTAAACTGTAATGCTGAGTTACCCAAAGAATCTGGATTCCTCGAAGCATGAAATGACTCTTCTGTGTTTTGATAATGTTTTGAATTGTTACTTTCTCTCTCACCTACCTCTTTTTTAAGCAAAACTTCATCCCAAAGGCCAACCTTTGTAGCGAGTGCCTGACAGTGTCAGCTTAGAATGAAAGGTTTCAGAGTAACAGCTGTGTTAGTCTGTATCCGTAAAAAGAAAAGGAGTACTTGTGGCACCTTAGAGACTAACCAATTTATTAGAGCATAAGCTTTCGTGAGCTACAGCTCACTTCATCGGATGCAAGTGAGCTGTAGCTCACGAAAGCTTATGCTCTAATAAATTTGTTAGTCTCTAAGGTGCCACAAGTACTTCTTTTCTTTCTTAGAAGGAAAGTAATTTCTGATTCATGGCCTGAACTGCTAGTGTGATGTTATCATAACTGCTGCCTCTTTGATTTTAGCCAGAGAGACATGGCAATTGTCTAGAAGCAATCTCTAGTCATATTACACCAAAGCTCAAAGTATGCCAGTGTATTCATTTGAAGTAGATTTCATAGATACTAAGGTCAGAAGAGACCATTATGATCATCTAGTCTGACCTCCTGCACAACGCAGGCCAAAGAATCTCGCCCACCCACTCCTGCGAAAAACCTCACCTATGTCTGAGCTATTGAAGTCCTCAAATCGTGGTTTAAAGACTTCAAGGAGCAGAGAATCTTCCAGCAAGTGACCCATGCCTTATGCTACAGAGGAAGGTGAAAAACCTCCAGGGCCTCTTCCAATCTGCCCTGGAGGAAAATTCCTTCCAGACCCCAAATATGACGATCAGCTAAACCCTGAGCATATGGGCAAGATTCATCAGCCAGATGCTACAGAAAATTCTTTCCTGGGTAACTCAGATCCCACCCCATCTAACATCCCATCACAGGCCATTGGACCTATTTACCATGAATATTTAAAGATCAATTAATTACCAAAATCATGTTATCCCATCATACCATCTCCTCCATAAATTTATCGAGTTTAATCTTAAAGCCAGATAGATCTTTTGCCCCCACTGCTTCCCTTGAAAGGCTATTCCAAAACTTCACTCCTATGATGGTTAGAAACCTTTGTCTAATTTCAAGTCTAAACTTCCTGGTGGCCAGTTTATATCCATTTGTTCTTGTGTCCACCTCGGTACTGAGCTTAAATAATTCCTCTCCCTCTCCAGTATTTATCCCTCTGATATATTTATAGAGAGCAATCATATCTCCCCTTAACTTTCTTTTAGTTAGGCTAAACAAGCCAAGCTCCTTGAGTCTCCTTTCATAAGACAGGTTTTCCATTCCTTGGATCATCCTAGTAGCCCTTCTCTGTACCTGTTCCAGTTTGAATTCATCCTTCTTAAACATGGGAGACCAG